CAGCTTGATGATGTCATTGTTTCCGATTCAGCTCCATCATTAGAATTGCTTAATGTCTGTTTCAAAACACTTACAAGAGCATCAATCGTTCTTCCTGATGGATTAGAAGATGTTATTAGCAGTGATGAATATGTTTTGTGTAAAATGAGTTTAATATTGTATCGTATTAAATCTGAAGAAATTGTTCGAAAATTAAAACAGTTATCATCAAAAATCCAAGATAGTGAACAGGGTTTTCTTCGTGATGAATTTCGTGTCACATCTAGTGAACGAAACGCTGAATATCTAGTTCAAGCAACAGAGTATTACTCAGCAGTTCAATTTTATCCGAACTCAAATCGTATGATGAAACTATGTGAATGGAAGGTCTACAAATTACCATCATCATTGCTTAATCTTACAAATGAAGACGTAGCAAAAGCAAAATTCGTTGCACAATACAATTTAGAAAGAAGTCACTCTGAAGATGGTACACCAACGTATATGTTTGGCAGAACAGATATTGAGGATTATGGACATGTATCAATTGTTAATTATGGAACAAAACCTGGACCTGAAATAGATGGATACTATCGCATGAAATTGCTCGTAATTAAAGATTTAAAATCATTGAAAGGATTGCCAGTTCTAGCGAGAACAATACGCAATCAAAAAACTGGAATCAGTACTGTTATAGTCTATGGTTTCAATCGACGACTTCGAGATAGTCTTGGTCTTGAAGTTGATAGTGATATGTTGTATGATGATGATAAAGTGATGAAATTCGATATGAAGACAGGCCAAAACATAGAAAATTCGGATTTATAAGATACTTGGAGTTTTAGCTTTGCGCTTTTTTTGAAAGAAGAAATTGTTTCTTCTTTGAAATAGCATTGTATTCAAGAATTTTTTAAAACTAATTTGTGAGTGTACATTTTCTCTTGTATAAGACAAATATGTAAATCGAAACTTTATCTGCTTGAAAATGAAGTCTTTAGCACGTTGGCGCTGTAATGATTACGTCAAACTTCCTCACAACTAACTTTTCCCTTGAATCCATTAGAGAATATGGTCTTTTCAAACAGTTTCAGGTCACCAATAGCACCGCTTACCATGCCCTTCAGAGTTGATTTTATTTGCATTCTTTATCAATATATGCAATGTTATCCGAACGCCGTTTACAATTACAGTTTTGATAAGCTAACCGTTGACAGAGGTGGGATCGGTTGATACTTCTTTTTGAATTCAACCAGACTGTATACTCTGAATGTGAGTATGAGATTGCTAGTTTTCTTCTAATTCGTAGCCATCGTTCACTCGCACTCACATTAAAGACTCTCTCAGTTATAGCTATCAACGTCTGTGTTACAATTAAAGTGTTCATATTTCAAAATATATAAATATGAGGAATGAATTGGGAGATGATGATAGGACTTATCCATAAATGAATGACAGTTTCTTATATATTTGCAGTGATTCATCATCAATATTATAGTTTAATAAGTTTGAAATGCCTATCTACGCTACTTTCACTTGAAAAATCAATAATTGAAAGCAATGATAGACATCTAAATTCAATAAAATTCAGTGATGAACACGTAGCTTAGAAATTTTTATCATCAATATTATATAAACAACACCAAAACATTTAACTGCAAAATTAAATAAAATTATCATTCAAAGATTAAGGAATTTTCTTGAAATATGCAGATTGCATTGCATTTAAATTATTCAGTTATCTTGAATGGAAGTTAATTAGATATTGTCTTCGTTGTAATACAAGCACAATTATTTCTACTTGTCAGATAGTTTTTATTAGTGATTCATTTGATACCATAATCAATATTAGTAACGGATCACACATATTGATCAAAAACAACACAAAATATTAGAGATATGTTATTGAAAACTGTATCGCTGAATATTTGCTCAGCTAGAAAAACCCTCGTACTTATAATGTATGTTTCTATGTTGTAAAACATGTTTGTAATTCAACAGTTTGAATATTGATGAAGCCAAATGAATTTTCGACCATTATTATGATGAGTGTAAAAGTCTGTAAGCTATTCAATGTTACTTTCAACTAAAAGAAAAGTTTAATTATGAAAAAGCAATGAATAACTATTACTTCAATCGGTGAAACTAGATGACTTCTCCTCAAAATCGAGAATGTGAAAAAAGGTACGAAGCATGAACATCGGCTATGTGAAATAATCCAGTTTTCAAAAAAAACCCTAAAAATCAATTATAGACTCAAAATCGAATTGTGTTTTTCTTGAAGGTATTTCAGTTGCTGAAAATTAGACTGATTTTCTGTCTTATCTTATCGTTACGACTACGAGCCGGAATAAATGTAAGATAAAGTAGATAATATTAATTAACTAAATAAATATTTTTCATATAAAAATAAGTGTGAATACTAGAACAACAGTTGATGCTAATTGTTTATTCAGTAAGCAGGCAATGAGAGTAAAGCTGTGAGAAACAAAATTTCATAAAAAGAGACTGCTACTTAAAGACAAATCAACAACCTAACTTTTTCAAATGAAATGCATGGTTTTTGGTTTAAATAGCTTTGTCATCGATTTTTGTACAAAGTGTGAAAAAAATGGATAAAAAGAAGCGAATAGAAAAACAAAAGAATTTCTCAAAATCTTAGCATTTTGTCCGTTTATAGAAAGAACCTAAAGTTACGACTGAAAAAAAGCTAATCAAGAGTCATCAATTCTATTCAAAATACAACATTTTTTGATATATCTGCCTAGTTGAAAATTGCTAGGTAGCGTAAAGGTAGCTTACGTCCATTAATCCTAATAAACTCTGCGAATCCTATGATTCACTATCACCACTTGTCCAAGGTGATGCCAAGAAATGCTATGCCTTGTTCTGTATTTTTAATAAAAATCATCAATGCTACTATCTTGACATAAATAAGTCACTAATCATACAATTTGTCACAATTTTAACATATTTTGTGTATTTCTCAAGATTTGTATTTTCGAACGGAATTGATTTCAGTTCAATTGCGATGCATATAGTCAACTGATGAGAAAAAATATCAAAATCATTTTTTGGTAAAGATCGAAAATCAAGAGTATTGCATTGGAAAAGAATGATGAGATGATTGTGAAAGCAATAATTGAAGCTATATGACGTATGCAAAAAATATTCGAACATATTAAATAAAAATTTGTTAACATAACTCTTGCTTCACCTTCACCTTACACATAGCAAAGTGTTTGTGTATGAAAATGGATAGACATCGAACAGAATAATATTGTTTTCTCTTCCATTCTCTGATGACATCATTTTTTTTTGCACCTTACTGCACGTTAGAGGGACTACTGCAATTATAACACTGCCGAAAACATCCAGACCAATCAAATAAAGTGAGAATGAATCATTTTCGCTGAATTGTCACGTATGAGGCAGGAAACTATGAGGATCATATAATTTCGAGACAAATGATGACATTTCAATCGGATCAAACAAGTTTCATATGACCTAACACTTTATTTAATAATATTATGACAAAATAGTTTAGATTTGTTCGTAAAAATGAAAATACAACTCTGGTGAAATCCTATGCAGTATGTTCAGTTTGCATTACAGATTTTCTCTTTAATACATATTTTCTCCAAACAGTGAATGTATGCAGTGCTTTTGAGCCAAGAACACCTTGTCCACATTGCAAAGTATCAAAACAAAATGTTTGATGATCTCGTCCAACTGGAATTTTCAAAGAATGAAACGAATTCGAGGGTTCAAACTCAACCATAACTAATCGCAACGAACTGCAGTCCGAAGACGTGAACTGAAACAATGGCTCGATCAATGGTGGTGTGGTTCAAGTATAGACACTGTTTTCATGGTTGAACATTAATTTCTTGGACTATGTTTTTGTACTGAATATACGACAATTTTAGACAAGGGTTACCTGAATTTTAGCCGACGGAGTTTAAGACTTCTGACCTCATGAACCTCTTGAAATTAAAAACCTAATTGTTTTTAGTTATTTACCAGATATCGTAGTGCTGAGCAGCAGGCCAAAATGGGTGTGAATGTCATTTAAGAAAAGATTCAGATCCAAACATTCACATTCCACACGTGCACTTCACACAGCGAAAAATTTATTTCATACAATTAATAAGAGGCAATAATCATAGATTAACAAAAGAAAAGAAACTTGAGGACATGCAAAGCAAAACTGTTTTATATCAATGATCTTGTTCTGGCATATCGTTATCATCTTCTGTTCATGGTAACTGGAATGTTACGATGAACTTGGCTTCGCTCATGCTATTCTCCAATCACATACCTCTATGACGAATACACTGCCGAACTACCATGAACGAGGTATGCCATTCAGTTCCCTGATAATATTCATTACCAAACATTTGCATTGTGTTCTTTCTTTCGCGATTTCACGTTCAACATCAACGCGATCATGCAGATTAGAATTTTCGACTTATCTTCAAACATAGCTCTTGACCAAATCTTTCACCCAGTTCAATAGAGGATATCTGTGCGTGTGCATGTGGGTCTTTTCTTTTGTTCGCACACACAAGATAGTAATGGAAGCGTTTGTAAAAGTGTTAGTGTCTGCAAGACTGTTGCGAGATTATTAGGATTTCATCTTTGTTTGCAAGAGAGTAGATAATCTTTTAGGATGATCGATGAGTAAAAAATGTAGTAAAAGCGTGAACTTCACTGACGGATACCAAAAAGTTTTTAGAATTGGGAATGAATGTGAGGTTACCACTAGCACTTCCTTCCACTACCTCGATATTTCTCAAGTGTCTGTGTTCAATTGTAAATAAGCTTTGTTCATATATATTCATGGATCAAATCGTAATATATAGAGCACTATAAATATATGGTTCTTGAGAAATATCACAGTAACGTTGATAGGTGAGTTTTTCAAAAGAAAAGAAGATATCATAATTCACCGAACGAAACGAGCTTGAGTAAATAACAAAAGCAAATACAATAAATTTTATGTAAATAAGACGCATTTAAATTTAACCAGGTGGTAATGCTTGTAGCGGACTAACCACCACTCGAAGCACAGGAGTGGAATGTTCTTGTTGTAAATCATTCTGTCCCGATGTAGACATGTCTCTGTCATCCAAAGTCAATTCTTGCATATCATGTAAATTTTGTTGTTCCGACCGTAATCGATGTCTCCACACGCCAGTCAATATTAGACGACTGATTTCTGGACGATCATTTGTATTTTCACAAGGAACTTCTTCAACCTCTTTGATCATTTTGATCTAAAATGACAAAATGAATGAGATCAGCACGATATTAGAAGCACATCTGATAAATTTCTAGTATTTAAATTATTACTCTGAAAAAAGTCTTTTTCTTGCTTTTTATCATTCAATCAGAGGTATCACCGCCGTAAACGCTATGTGGTCAAAAACAAACTTTTTTTTATTGTGCTCAAAATGTTGAAACGTAAGGTGTTCTTTTGATACATCACTTTTAAGGATACCTATACGAGGTTAATAATATCTATTGCTTTCTAAAGTTATAAGAAATGATTCACAAGATAAACTATTGCAAAACTCATACAAGACTAGGCTATATAGTCAAATATCAGTTCTCACATGCTGCTTTAAAAATAACTATTGTTGGTAAAGTTTTAAGCATTGTGAGAAATCGTGACATCATAAGAAACAAAGTTTTTTTTCACATAATTGATCTAGATCTGTCAATTTGCTAATAGTTTTCGTGCGCGACACACGGTTAGATAGATAATCGAAACCTGCATCGGATACAGTACGCCTACACCTATGTCTCCTTTCATATTTCAATGAGTATATTTGAAAAATGAAAGTTAACTATCGAACTTCCGAAATATACCATCAGAATACAATCATCTTATTATTCGGCAAAAATAAACCAATTGCTACTAAATTACTATAGTGACTTGATGAGTTTCAATGTTTTGAGCCAGCCAACGGCTATTATGAATGAGTAGACGTAAGTGTTCATCTGTTGAATCTGATGCAGTTTTTGATTATCTATCTAATTATCAGTCATGTGTCAAAAACAATTCACAAGTGACTAATCTAGATGAATAAAGCAGGAAGATTTTTTATCGATGATATTATGATGATTTATAAGGCTTAAAATTTTAGCAACTGTATGCATATGTAGACCACCATGTCGGTGGCTAATATTTTAGTATTTAGAGTAGTTTTATATGGATTTCTCAATAGTTTATCATCTGGATTATTTCGGATTAGTTTAGAAGACAATAGACGTTATTAACCTCGTATAGGTATCCTAAATAGATATATTCCTCAAGAACGCGTTATATTTCAGCATGTTAGGCACAACAAAAAACATTTCTTTTTGATCACATAGCCTTTTCAACGGCGACACATCTGACTAAACTATAAAAATCAAGAAAAAAGATTTTTTTCAGAATAATGATTGAGACATTAGGGGTTCACCTATAGGTTTCTATACCTCCTCGTTTCTGTTATTTTTCAGCTGCTCCTTGATCCAGGTGCGAAATTCACCAGTAACACGAATTGCACGATTCTCATAACATCGTTCTGCTTCAAAAAGAGCTATTTGGAAATTGAAGTTGTCTTTAAGTGAAGGCAATAGAATTGGTATTACATTTGTCTGTTGCCAAACAGTCGCGAACATACGAGAAAAATTATATTTTATGTCATCTGTAATATCTTCGTTTTGAATAAAGACGCATCGGTTGTCAAAACTGGGTTCATGTTCGTGAGCAGTGTCTTTTTCTTGCGTGACCATTCGTTTACTCCAATCATCCTCAATAATTCGTTCATTTCCCACAACATACATACGAATAAAGGACAATTGTCGGATAAATTCACAAATCTTATTACGATGCTGATATTCAAACCAACCTGTATCAATATTTAGCATTGTATGACATCCATGTAAACCAGTATAATCTTAGAGAACACAAACGACTGGCGAAATAATTCCTAAATTCTTACCTAAAAAAGAGTAAAAAAAATTAAAAATTCAACGACTATGATATGTTGAATGACTAAAGAATCAAAAAGCGATAGCACATTGTAAGAGAAAATGTTTTAACCATTGCATTCATTTTGTTCTGTAATTTTTAGAAATTCGGCGCACTCATCTCGAAAAATCAGCCGTAAGATCTTCAGATCAGATCTGATATTTTATGATCCTAATACTAGACGAAATCGTACCCAGGGCGAACAATCGGACACTAAGATCGGACAAGATTCTGCGTCTGATCATATATGATCTTATACGAGTTGGTATGAATCGTACAAAAAACCGTAGTCTCTGAAATCTTACATCAATTCTTATTGTAAGATTCTTGACAGATCTTGTTGTCTTGTCAGATCTTACAGGAATCTTATAGTAAGAATTGATGTAAGGTTTCAGAGGCTACGATTTTTTCTACGATTTCATATGATTGTACAAAAAAACGTGGTCTCAGAAATCTTACATCAATTCTTACTGTAAGATTCTTGTCGGATCTTACCGTCGCATAAGATTTTCTATAATCTTACAGTGAGATTAGATAGAACAACAAGATCTGTCAAGAATCTTAGAGTAAGACTTGATGTAAGACTTCTGAGACCACGATTTTTTGTACGATTTTCGTCTGATCTTACAAGGTTATACAAGATCAGATGAACGATCATGCAAGATCTTACCATCTGTTTGTTTGACCTGGATCGTAGTGTCTGCAAAACTTATATCAAGTCTTAGCATGCGATTCTTCAAGATCGTACAGATAATATGATGTTGGAAGAATCGCATGCTAAGGCTTGATATAAGTTTTGCGGACACTATAATTTTTTGTACAATTTTCGCCTGATATTATAAGTTCACGTGAGATCAGACATAAAGTCTTCTAAGATCTTACCATCGGATTGTTTACCCTGGCTATGCGTTTATTTTTCCGTTGTGTAGCAAAGTACGCATAGAAACTTACAGTATTGCAGTAGATGCTCTCTAGCGTTCATCAGGTTTTCACGACTTGTGTTCAATGGAATTAGTAGTATATGGCAGGGATCAGTCTACAAGGTTCATGCATTTGTTCTGTAGTGATATAGTGAAACTCTTGGCATACCTTTAGTTTGCTAGAATACCATTCTTTCGTCTTGATCGCTTGATCATGGTAATATTTTGCATTCTGTTCATCACTAGACATACGTGCTTCGTCACATTTCGTTTCAATAAATTCCAAAATCTCTAGTGTAACCATCCCTGTGATCAGGTGTTCGGTGATATGAAAGACTTTGGTTTCATTTTCAGATGGAACAGCATTTGTATTCCAGCAGGTAAAAACACGAAACACTTGATCCTTTTTTGTCATCTTTTGGACAAATGAATCGTTGTGTATACCGATTGAATTGAGAAGAACAACGAATAATTTGCAACCTCCTGCTCTCAGTATCAGTATATCATCAGCAAGCTTTTCGAATTCGACAGCATCTGTGTTGGACACGAAATGATAACTCACCGGTAATCGTACATTTTTTCTTGCCCTTTTGATACTTTCTGGAGAGCCGATCACAACCACTTTAAATTCATTTTCCATAC